AGAGGGGGGAGAGGGGGGAGAGGGAGAGAGGAGAGAGAGAGATCAAATCTACAAACCTACCTGCAACCAATCTCCGACGACGTTTGTCCCAGCCCAGGCACCGTAACTACGAACTCCGTTTAACCGTGCGAAGTAGGGATAGTAATTCCCATCGTAGAACGCAGATGCCGTGATTCTTCCATCTGGTATGGTGCCAGATTCCATCCCAAGTGGATCCTGACAAACTGATAACATGATTATGTTCCAGCTTGGTTTTGATGTCCCAAATTAATCGTATTGAAAAATAGTTTCAAAATATAGGTCGTAAATGGACATGGTTGTACACAACAGGTTAACTGCCATGAACCAAAGGTTCATGTAGCCTGCTATTGAACACACTGTAGGAAAAGAAAACGGAGATAGCTGTCGAGACAAAGCATGTACTTGCCACTCACTAACTAACTTCATACACTAACAATTAGACAATAATATTTACAAAATGCTGTAGACTATTCGTCATGCTCGGCTATAGGGCCGGAAGGTATGACGTCATCACCCACAATGCAATACCAGCATTACGTCATTCTTCCGGGTCAGGCCAGGGGCGCCTCAGCGCATAGTCAACTTTTGGCTTCAGACGACTATTTCCGCATAACTTCATACCGGAGGTCCATGGCCGAGCATGATAAAAAGGATACTTTATATATCCCCTAGCACCATACATTCGGAAGGTTTAAATGGATTATTTACAGCATGTTACAAAATCTATACCACTAGTTGTATCTATCTCACAAATCACAGAGCTAAATTACATGTTACCAACAGCATTCCCCCGAACCAAATACCAGATTAGTTATTATTAAGTGACGAGTAAGAAACAACAATAATGTATGGAAACATCAATACCCCAATTGAAATGGAAACATGAAATTTACCTTGCCCAGTGACTGTTGCAGTCGACGTTATCAGCACCAGGACCATCCACCTCCAGAACCCGAATGTACACGGACCCGCCATCGTGTCAGCGTACATCACTATGAACAAGAAACATACCTTTGTGATGTAGATAACTTTGAAATTCGTAAAGCAATAACTCAATTAAGAATAGCCATAAATTGAATATTGAAACGGGCAGATATTACAATATAGCCCCTGACCAAAGGTTCTGTCCATTTTGTCCAAATAGCTAAAAGCATATAGAAAATGAATTTCATTTTGTTATGGAATGTACCAAATATGATGTTATACGTAACAAGCTATTTACATTTCTCGAATCAAGTACCATAGATTTTAAGAGTCTCGTTGTTGGAGACAGATTTGAATATATCTTTACATGTTATGGTCCCCACAACGCAAAAATAGGTAGATAAATATATTTAAAGGAATGCTTTGCTACTAGAAAAAATGCCGAAACTTGTGATTAGCCCACTCAATTGTAACACGTTATCAAAAAAACTGTGATATCCCTTATTATTTGAATGATTATGATATAGATATGTTAGGTTTTATTCGACATTAGGTCTTATGCAACACACTTATTTAATTGTTGTTACTCTCTTTATGTAGTTTGCCACACATTGTACCATGTGCAATTGTGCAATAAAGTTCTTCCTAAACACAGGCCGGCAATTAGGGATTGCATTCTGTCTGTTTGCAAGTTTACAAGATTTGTATACCAGAAGAAGAAAACACTGTGCAAAAGCAATATGTATTCCTTCTGTAAAAGTGGTGCAGGTTTGAAAAGTTTGAAATACTACACCCGTCTACTTTTGTTGATGGCATAACCCGGGAGGGGTTTATAAAGGAATCAGTCACTCATGTTCAAGTCGTCGAACTGTCTACAGAAATATAAATTGCAATCAACTACATGAAAACTGTAGTGATATTCTGCTACACTAAACCATCTGCGTTTCACAATCTTATTTGTACAAATAGAAAAACAAACAAAACCTATCGTAAAACTATACTCGCATCAGCAACATACAACTTCCTAGGCTTTCCTACATTTTTATATCAGCAGTTCTTGAATACGATAAAAAATGCCGCTGCCTGGCGACACCTGTCCAACAACTTAAAATGAGCGAGTGCGGGAACCTCCTTATGGTCCTGTCACATATTCATTGAACCTCCCCCGAATAGACCACGACAACCGATGTCTCCAGACTAAAAAGCCCGACCTATATCCCCGGCGGGCACCGACGAATTTGTGACCTAACCATGACAGGAGCTTTACGCCAAAAACAAATGAACCCGGCCTTTTCTATTAAAGCTTGTCAGAAAATTCTGCATGCTGCCTCAAATATAACTCCATTTCACTTTTGTCTGTACTCTAGCCTCAGAAATCATTGTTACGATCTTCACCAAAAAAAAAGATGTAAATAGTTGGTGGAAAATGTTTCAATCACCTTTACTCATTGTCCCATTTAGAGTTTTTCTATCCCATGAATTCTGTCTCCTTGTGCTCGGTATGCAAAGTTTGGGCCAGTGGGGTCGCGTGGCGTAGAGGCAGAGTGCTCGACTCGGAATCAAGAGGTCCTGGGTTCGAGTCCTGGCATGCCACCGATCTTGTGCCCGTGGGAAAGGCACTTACCACGACTTTCCCCACTTCGCTTAAGTGAAAATGAGCATTGCATTGTCCCCTGTGTTGGTGGCGGCATTAATATAAGTTGACAAAACTTGACTGTGCCGTCACCACGTCTTGTGATTACATGGAAGGAAAAAAAGGGCTACATTTTGCATACTGAGCACAAGGGGACAAAATACTACCACGGTGCCCTGTAAACAATGGCGGCCTGTCTGACAACACTGGCGTGATGACCTCGGGGCACCAAATGAGCTGGAAGGAAAACCTGCCCGAGGACATATGTACAGGTTCTGTTTTGTCCCTGTCAGGTGAAACAAGTACCCTGAGACTTCAGACGCACGAACACAACTTCGTACATCACAGCCGACCTCTTTTGCATTTTGTTTTGGCAATTTGGCCAGTTTCCTTAACTTTTGCACTATCCTAGAGATTCTCAACGATACATGGGAACTTGATAATGTCCGCATCTAAGTTACAAAAAGCCTGGATTTACTTTCAGCGAATAATAAAGGAGATCACAGCCCTTACACAAGAGTATGCCGGTATAAAGGTTAGTTTCTTATCGTTGATTTGTTTTAAGCACATAAAGAAATGATCAACCTACTAATGAGGTCACATTTCCAAACCGGGGCCCGGCTGGGCAGCTTTTGGTAAAACAAGTACTACAAGTATATAAACGACAACAAAACACAGCTAAAGTTTAAAAGATAACCATAAGTACTAAGTGTATATTCTTGGAATTGTGACCTCAGCATGACGGCTTGTGAAAATGGCTCTAAATGTAGGTCGGAGGTACATTTCGTGGTGTTTGAAGCCTATATTTAGTTACAGGACCTCTCTCTGTTAACAAAAACGTATCGCAGTATCCACAGCTTAAAGAAACATAATCTGCAAAGAATAAACCTTCAGGCAGGATGAAATCTCGGGTTTGTGCCGTGAAATTGAAGAGAAAATCGGGAGTCTGAAGCGTGGCCTACGTTAAATAACTGGCAACGCAGTACTAGGTATAGTGGGGGGCCATATTTGCAAAATTTCGCCCAGATGAACCAAAAACAGCTAAAATCTCTGCAGTGCCGCTCAACATACTTGAAATGTTATGAAAGATTTAAAAGCAAGAAATTAAGGCTTTTAAACAAATAAAAACACAACAAGTCATTCAAGTTTTAACTTTAAACAGGCAACTCATGTAAACACGCCACCGTCGCCTGCAAGTATATACAGCGACGAATGCACGGTTTTTGTTGAACGTAGCCAAAAAACAAGTAAAATACCTGTTATAAAAGGTCCCTTAGATACCTCAACCGTGTTACCTTTAGTTTGTAGTGGGAAAACGATAAACTAGAACAGTATAAACCAAGAACGTAGAAGTCTAAAACATGACGTTTTAACTTACTCTTTGGTTGGGCTCAAAGCATGTTGTTGAGTTGTCCCCGTGTTTCCAAAACCACACTTTTTTTCAATTTAAACTTCACGGCAAAAGTAACAAACACAACCTTATTGAAACATTCTACAATGAACGTCCGTAAATATCGGGTCGTAAGCCTGGATAGAGAGACTTTGATCGTGACATTGACAAGAAACTTTAGCGTCTCGAATGGGGGTATAACAAGCCGTGCTTTGGGCAGGAGAAACTTCTCTAGCACAGGTGCGATAGAGCCAAAACTCTATGCTATGGAGTTAAAAAAACATTGAGTGGCCTTAGCTACGATATAAATCGACGAAAGAAAGGATAACACAGACCAGGTTGGACAAGAACCCTCGAGCTTTTCAACAATGAGTGACACAGTACGAATTTCTGATCAGTCACGTCAAAAAGTTGAGAATCGGGCAAAGTTAACGTGTTTTTATTCTAAGCTATAGAAAAGACTTTGAAAGTTGTCATATTTCATCAACTAATTATGTACCGTCGTTTCATGATCTAGCAGGTGCAATAAATTAGAAGAACGGACAAAGACAGGTACTTACTGGTTCAGTGTTGTTGGTGAAGCGAAGTCGGTTTATGCCAGCTCGCTGTCCGCTCTCTAACTTTATAGTGCTCAGGTATATATACCATGATACTATTTTTAGATTATCATTCAAATCAACGATTGTGATTGGTCAAATGTGATGGCATGACACCGCATAAAAAGAAGATGATCAAAAAATATGGATCTGGAGAATCACGTGATGTATGAAAATTCCCACGCTGCCTATACCCGGCAGACAAAGGACCAATACAGAAATCCCACGACTGTTTGAACCAGGTCCATTGTTGTACAGAGTATTTTTAGAGTTCACACGACCTTTTCTGCCCTCTCCCACCGTGCAAGGTGCACTGAAGTGAACGGGAACTGTTGCCCATTACAAGTCACTGACCTTGGAAAGAAATGCAGGACATGAAAAAAAATTAAAAAACCGTACAAATAATCCTCATATAAAGCAGAGTTTAGTTTTCAAAACCCTTTTTTCAGTATTAAGGCGAAGGGTTCATTTAAAGATTGTCCTTATCCAGCACTGCCATGGCCATAGCCAGTTAGGTTAGATTTAGTCACAGATGTTTATCATAACACGCGGAAGAGAGAGCACGACTTTTATCAAAACAGCACCATTTGGTTTTACTTATCGCCATTTGTTAACTTGTCTAAGATACATCAAGAACGTGGGATTCTGTTAT